ATTCAAAATGGCGTCAGATATGGGTTTCCGGTCCCTACCCGTCACCAAGATTCCAAAAATGCCCATATTGAGGGATACTTGACAATAATTTTCAAGTTTTTCTCCAACCGGAAGCCACCATCTTGAAATTCCAAATGGCCTCAATATCGATTTCTTGTCCCTACACGTCACCCCGACTCCAAAAATACCAGTTTTGTGGAGTATTTGGTAAAATTTCTAAGTTTTTTCATTAGCCGGAAGCCGCCATCTTGAATTCATAATGGCGTCAGTCATGGGTTTCCGGTCTCTACACGTCATCCCGACTCCAAAAATACCCATTATGAGGAAGCCGAAGAAACAAAAAAAAAAATTATTGAAACAAATTTAGAAGTAATAAATTACCGAAACCCGCAACCATCGCTTATATAACTCTAGGGTTTTCCATCCAGTCGACTGCAGCGGTTGTCACTTAAGTCGTCCCTTCAGTACGACTTTTGTCACCGAAATACGACTGTGAGAATAAGGTGAGAGTTCATCGGGTTCATCCCAAGTGACTTTTCTCACCTCACTCGCCAGCTGGAATCGGGTGACACGAGTGACTTGAGTCACCTCACTTCATTCGCCACGCAGAATAACCCTGAGCGCATTCGTGATTTGTCCCACGCGCAAATGTCGCAAAAAGACATTTCAATCGCCGTGGGAGTGACCCGGTGGACCGTCAAAAGGGTTTTAGACCGAGAAAAGAAAGGACAACTATCCGCGAAGGTGGCCACAGGTCGTCCGAGGTCAGCTCGGGTTCCGAGGGTTATCGCTGCTATCAAACGGAAGATTCGGGTGAATCCAGTGCGTTCAATAAGGAAAATGGCAAAGGAACACGGGATCAGTGACTTTACGGCACGGAAGATCGTAAAGGAAGATTGCGGGGCAAAGTCGAGGGCACGGAAAAAAAAACTCACATGATTACCAACCGCATCCGGGAGCTACGCGTCGAACGATGCAAGAAAATCTTGAATTTCCTTAAGCGAAAAAATCCGATAATCCTGTTCACCGACGAGAGCATGTTTACCGTCGATCCCGTATCAAATTCCAGAACCGACCGGTATATTAGTTCTCTTCCGGTAAAAGACGTGGCTGACGAGCACAAGAACGTGTATCTGACCAAGCATCCTGCTAGCGTTATGGTGTTTGGATTGATGGCTTCCGATAGCAAAAAAAAAATGGACGGTGTTCATTCCAGCAGGCGACAAGGTCAACACGGAGGTCTACATCGGGATTTTAAGTAAGTATGTTCTTCCGTGGATCAAAGAACAGTACGGTCCGAAGCCAAATGTTGTATTTCAACAAGATGGGGCTCCGTGCCACACCTCAAACCGCAATCAGAAGTGGGTGCACGAACATCTTCCGTTCTGGGCGAAGGATATGTCGCCGCCATCCAGCCCCGATCTTAATCCGCTGGATTACTCAATATGGCGCGTCATGAAGGCCAAGGCCTGTTCTAAACGCCACCCGAGTACAGCAAGCCTCAGACAAACATTGACCCGTACCTGGAGAGAAATGGATCCAGACTACATTATTAGAACCTACCGTGCATTCCGGAAGCGTGTGGAGGCCGTATTTGCAGGAAGTGGAAACTCGATCAATGATTGACAATAATTTTTTTTCAATTTTGACATTGCTCAATGGTGCAAACATTATCACGCATACGGTAACTTGAATCGTGATGCTGTCTTCAGCAAAGTTGTTCGTTATAGTTTAAGCTACGCGTGCTAATATTCTAAGCTTAATCGAGTTTGCTAAACCAGTTGTATGCACGAAAGAGTGAAGGAATATTATTTCTCCATTCATTTGAACCAATATCCCCATATCAATTTAAAATCAAAAGCACCAGCTCGTGTTACATCCGACTGAGCTGAAATTTTCAGAGAGTGGTTTTCTCACCTAATGGCACACATCTAGGAGTTGAAAAAAATGATAAAAATTTTGCCCCATATAAATGTGGGCCAGTCTAGTGTAGAATCAATTTATCTGTTTGCAATAAAGCATTTCAAGCTGAACATTGCATTAGGTCCTCAGTAATATTGACAAATTCTCTTCGTCGAATTTCGCGTTGTATCACTTGTATCCCCACGACCATGTAAAGGTATTTCCAGCACACATATCGGAAAAAGAAGCATCTAATACGACAAACACAACAAGAAAAGGTTATGTGCCCAAGTTATTAACAAAAGAGAAAGTCGGCGAAGAGAATCAATCAATGGTACTTAGGACCTAATGCAATTTTCAGCTTGATTTGTGGTTTTATTTCTCCTAAGGTGGTGCAGATAAGACTTTCGGAAAGTGGAACTGGAAAATGCTGTATGATTAATTCATCTGCTGGGTGTGAGAAGGTCTATTATGACTGTCATTTTCACTCTCTTTTTCGTCACCGTGGCAGAAAAGAGGCTCATCCCAAGTAGAATTTCTTGTTTTATTGCACTCTATTAGTGGTCTTTGAGATCAATTTTATAAAACCGCCAATAAAATTAATAGCTTCAGCACAACCTTTTGATAACCGCTATAAGATCGTCTTCCAGCTTAGTGGACAACTCTTGATAAGGTTTATAAAGCATGTTTGAGAATCACAATCAGGGTTACTTCGACTCACTTGCTATAAAAAATTGTTTTTCGGAATTATGAAATCGTTAGATATTATGAAGCTTATAAGTACCGTGCCGATTCAAATTTCGGACACTTAAACTCGAATTTCGGACACTTTTAAAAGTTGATTATCTCGGTCGAATATGATCCACATGTCTTGTAAATTTTAAATTTTTTGACTAGTGCCCTCCACGATCATCTAACATTATTACTTTGTTTCTAACTGGATGTAATATTTAATTAAAAATGAAAGTGTCCGAAATTTGAATCGTCTGAAATTTGAATCGGAACGGTACCTGTAAGTTACAAGAAGAGATTGTAAAGTATGTGTTTGACTCATACAACCAGTCATTTTCGCTTTCAGAGTGTCACAATCTGCGATTTTATTATTCACTCTGAGTGAACGCTCACGAGTCATAAAATCAATGATTCTGACTCTCTGAATGCAAAATTGACAGGTTTTATGTATCAAATATATACTTTTCATATACTGATTATAGTCCCCAGTTTTTCTGGTCGCGGTGTCGGTGTTGCTCGCACCTCAGCCAGAAGAGAGTTGATGATTGCTTCCGGTCGTCCATAGAGAACTCACAACGTGTTGATTATCTCCGGAACGTTTGACGGATGAAGAAGAAAACTGCTCACTGCTTTCTTCGCGTCCCATTTCAAGCTTCGTTGTAGTCGCATCAGGTTCTCCGAATCGTTGTACCCACACATCTGCGTAGACGTATCATAGCTGCTCCAGAACATCGGCCACTCTGTTGGATCCCCAGTAAAACACGGAAGGTCTTTGGGAACAACGTGGCGTGCTGCCAACTGCTGCGCATTCGGGCCGTACGATGGCTGAAACACCCCATACTGCAACTGTGGGTTTGGTACAGCTGGTATAGGTGTTTGATAACTCGAGACACTCACTACAGGAGGACTAAGTGGCGGTCGAGAATTACCCCATGTTTGCGAAAGCATTGGTACGGTTTGTGTGTGAGAAGCAGCGAAAGGAGCATTTTGTGACACCAGAGGATTTGAAAAATTTAAAGGCTGGTTCCTATTTAAGAAATAGCTATCGGAATCGAAGTGCGATACGTTTCTAGGTATTTCGGAGTGCCCTAACTGCCCTAGTGTTGGCTGGAAAGTATGTGATGGTTGGACATAGTTTTGATTGGTTGGTTCTACAGTTCTTCTTGTGAAAACTTCTGAGCTCGTAGTACTCACCATGTTCGAAGTAGGTACTACATACGGATTGTACTGACCAACTCGAGGATCCATCCAATAAGGTCTGTCCTCTCGTGGTTGATTGTGTCCGCCATATGATACCGGTACAGGAATCTGAGGAAACATCGTACTGCCACCGACTGTTGTTCCTAAATCCGGAACCAGCTGGTTGACTGCAGGCGGAATCAGATTGGTATTCGCCTGCCACGTTAATGTCGGCTGCACAGTTGGAATACTCGTCAGCGACACAGGTGCTGCCCGGGGCGTTGATTGAAGCAATGTTGGAAGTGATAGGGCTGGATCTGCGACACTAGTGAAACCTCCCTGGTGTACGGTCGCAATAGGTGAGATGACGTCATCAAAGTTTTTCGAAAACACACCTTGTGTGCTAACCGGTTTCGATCCCACTTCTTGGCTGGTAACTGCTGAAACTGGAACTACATTCGAGCTGTTTTGCGCTGTGCTTGCTACCGGCATCGATTCTGTTGGTAGGATGTGGCCACCCGCTTGCGATGTGAGCCCAGTGGAAATAACTTTTCCAGATTTGGCACTCAGGATCACTTGGTGGTTGTCGATCCAGCATCGAACTTTATCGACGCTATCGGCTGCACTGTCACCGCTACACATACTCGCTCTTGAATTTGCCTTAGCATCCTCATCCAATCGCGCGTGAAGCAACTTGAATTTCCGTTCCAGGAACTCCTTCTCCAGTTTCATCAGATCCTCCATCATCTTTTCCCTCCTGTCCTTTTCCAATTGCAAAGCCTTTTCCTGCATCTCCTGGTCGTGTTTCGCCTTTTCTGCCATCAGCTTGGCTTGAAGTTCTTTTTCCTCGGCCAATTGCTGCATTTCCAATTGAAGTTTTGCCTCTCTTGCACTTGCAGTCGTCGATGGTGTTGATCCTACCAACGACGGTGCACGGGAACCCCTTGGCCGGCATAACACACATTGGTAGCTTTGGTCATCAGCCTCGATGCTATAACCTACACCAGCGCACGAAAAGTGGTACCATCGGCTGCATCCATCGCACTGGACCATCTTCGCATCCGCCGTATTCGGTCGCTTGCATAAAATGCATTGAGCATCGGCTGGGACTTCATCCGGCATCAGTGGAGCTCCAGGCATAATAGTTCAGGGTTGAGAAGTCGAAATTACTTTCAAGAAATAATTCTTCAGCCAAACCGTAGAACGAATGCTACTGTGCGGGTTAACCTTTCCCACTTTGAAAACCGTTTGAACTCGATGACTGGCTGCGTCGGTGGCAGCTGGTGCACATGGACCATCCTTAATTCTTCGGCTGTTGTCGACTCTACCGCTTCCTCTGGCCAGCTACACTCCGGCTTATACAGGAACTCTGGGGCCTTGAACCACCTGCTCTGTTCTTCGAAACATGGTCCATGACCCCACTTGGTGGCTTCATCGGCTACGTACATTCTCGTGGGCACCTTCTTCCAATCGCTGACCTCCGTTTCATCCAGAATTTCTGTTACCCGGAACGCTACATACTGCTTGTACTTTCGCGGGTCTGACCGAAGCCAGTTCAAGACCGTGGAAGAATCGCTCCACAATACTTTGCGCTTGATCTGCAACGTGTGATTTGCTATGATGGACTTCATAAGTCGTGTTCCAATTACGGCTGCTTGTAGCTCCAACCGTGGCACTGAAAGTAATTTAATCGGCGCCACCTTGGTTTTTGCAGACACGAGACTGCAGCGTATTTTACCGCCATCTACTATCCGGAAGTAGGCTGCGGCGGCGTATGCAGTACTGCTAGCATCAACGAAAACGTGCAATTCGAGTGAATCGTAGGCTCCAGCGCTGTAGCCGGGAAAGTAGCATCTGGGTATCTTCACCATATCCAGTGTTCCAAGTAATTTTACATACTTTTCCCACCGGGGTACGATATCTGCAGGTAGCGGCTCATCCCAGACAATTCCGGATCGCCACGCTTCCTGAATTATCGTCTTTCCATGAACTACGAAGGGAGCGATCATCCCTAATGGATCGAACACACTCATGACTAACCTCAGGACTTGGCGTTTGGTCGGCACAACGGATTCATCCATTAGACGTTGCAGATCCTCCCGGAAAGTCATCGAGAATACGAAGACATCCTCTTGTGGTCGCCACACCATCCCCAATACCCGTTCCAGGTTGCTACCCTTGTCCATGGTGAAACTCCTCACCGACTTCGTGTTCTTCTCCCCAATCCGCTGCAGCACCTCTGGAGAGTTCGACATCCAATGCTGATTGTGACTCTCTGAATGCAAAATTGACAGGTTTTATGTATCAAATATATACTTTTCAATCTCTTCTTTTAGTTTACAAGTACAAAATATCATTATAACGTCCAAGGATTCCATAATTTCAAAAAACATTTTTTATAGCGAAGTGAGTTGAAGCAAGCCTGACACAATGAAGCTGTCTTAAAACCTTTTGTAAGAATGCCCCATACTCTACAAAAGGTTCTCTTAGCCTCTTCAAGAGTAATATTGTATTTAAGCAGTTTTATTACGCTTTGGTTAAAATCAGTTATTAATCCAATTTAATTATTATAGCTTCAAAGCAACTGCCATAAATTAGCTTGTTGTTGTTCTGTTTTGCTGAAAATTTTTTTCATATGGGAACCTTTAGCGGTAAAAATAGGTTTGAGTGTTGGTGTCAAGATCACCATGCAATAAATATTGTTTCATGGCGACACTAGTGAAAATCTTAAAGAATATAGGGGAAATGACGGCTTCGGCATGACAGACTATTTTCGGCAACCCAAATTGAAACACTATTTTCACTGGATTTTCTTACGAAAACACTTCGCTGAATGCATGCAAACGATTCTTTATGCTTTCAGCTTCAATTTGACTTTATTTTTACCACTGAGAAAAAGCAATCTAGCAGGGTTTTCTTGAAATGAAACACACGCACTATAAATTGTAGCTGATTTCGAGTTGCCGATAATAGAACAGCAGATTTACATGCAGTTCAAATGGAACGGTTGCCGAAGAAAAACTGGTTGCCGACAATACTCGCTCTCACTAGAGAAGATTGGAGCTTTGTAAAAGCGTTTCAAAACAGTTTTTGACAATTCTTTCGACTGAAATTGTTAGAGCAGCTGGCAGCAAAAGATTGTAAACAAACCAATACTGCATATGTGTGCATTCCATAGAGAAAAAGGCTATAGAAAGAAGGTCGCTGCTTAGGTTGCCGAGAATACGTAAATTCCCCTATATGACTTTTTAGAAGTTCCAAATATGAGCGTTAAATAAATGGGCCGCCAAAATAATTCAAGTTAACAAAAAAAAAAAAAAAATGGGTTTCAGAAATCAAATGAATTTGATGGAATTGTTGACGATAGACGTCTTGCCGCACTAGAAGGACTTTCTTCGCTAGTAGATCACTAGCACCGAGACGAATTCTGCCCAAACCGAATCACTGATCACAAGAAAAATTTGTCATCGACCGACCAGAGAAACAGACGACGTAGGTACTGTTTCCTTCAACGTGTATTTTGTAACTGAACTATTTACATAAATTTGCTCGTCCCTTATCTCCTACTGTGGTAGTGACCATCGGCTATCTATTGGTCGATATCGTAATATAAAATTCTCTCCCTCTCTCTGCTCGCAATTCAATAACAGTCTGTATCATTTGGAATGGTAATTCAACACTTAACTAATTGGATTGATATTTACAAAATCTTATTCCTATCTCCAACAGGAATCATCTTAATTTTACAGAAAATAGATCTCAATAAATACATTCACTCTGCACACTGGAAATCTTTTCGGATCTCTAATTTAGCCATTATTGTATTGAAATTTCTTGGACTTTATTCCAAGGCTAATGGCATTTTCATAATGACAATATGTCCACAGAGGACAGCAGGCATGAAAAAACCAAGCGCAATTTCTTAAAATGCCTATTGCTTATATTGGATGAAAGCAGAACAGAAAATCATAATGCATGATTTTATTTCGAGCACTATTTTCTTTTTAAAAGAGCAATTCATTTTTTGACGTTGGACTACGTCTTTCGGGAAGATGGGGGTAAACTTTATGAAAACCGAAACATTAATTTATGAAAGATTTTGAACGTTTATAACTTAGCTACCCCTGGATCAATTTGCAAAAAAATAATCACCAATCGATCAGAAACATTTCTAAGCATCGACAACAATGCTTTTGACGGTTGATTTTTAAATTGAAACTATTGAAAAAGTGGTAAATTTCAAGCATTGTCCAAAAGCTTCAAATAACTAACAAATCCACCAATTACGTACATGCCTGTGCTGCTTCCCCAACACAGTCATCAGTTCCTAGATGAAACAAGTCGAAATGACATTCGCCTCCGATCTTCGGGCATGTACGAATAGGGAGGATGCAATTGAAAAACATTTTATTGCCAATTCAGAACCACACGCCCCCACCGACCACACAAAATGCTCTCCGTTTTTTTTCCTTGGATTTGTTTTCCGTCGATCTTGTTTTCCGTGCTGAGCACCAATGCTACCCACACCTGGACCCTACCTATCGACCATGAACCGGAGACTAACGGCTTTACTTCCCTTCCAAAGTAAGGCGTGATCAGAGACGTTATGCCCCTAAACATCCCAGCGGTGCCGACTGGGATTGAACTCAGGTAATTACGCTTACCACTACACCACCGGCGCCACTGCTCTCCAGAGTTGTGATCCTGTAACCAATCTTGGAAGCAGGGGATATTCTATATAAATTCTATTTTAACTCTTTTCTTAAATGACTTCTAACTTTTCAGGGCCACCAAATTTCGAAACGAAGGTGATCGAAGCTGAAATTAAAGACCGGTACAAGCTGGTCCCCATCTCCATCTTCCGGATCAAGATGAGGAACGAAAGCCAGAGAAAGTACCAGGATTGCCTTTTCCTTGTACACTTCAAGAAGGGGACGGTGACGCTTAATGTGTTGCAAGCAATCCGCTCCCTCTTCAACGTCATCATCCATTGGGAGTCCTACCGTGGTGTAGATACGCATATTGCATAGGTTTAAAAGAATATTCCCTGTCCGGGGCGGCCATATTGGATTTTGGTCTGCTATCTTGGATTCCACAATGGTGGCGGATGTCAATTTTCCACTTCCACTCATCGAGCCCATTCCGTAGATACCTTTATTTCATGGGTTTAGATGAATATTCCCTGTCCGGGATGGCCATATTGGATTTTGGTTCGCCATCTTGTATTCCAAAATGGCGGTGGATGTCGGATTTTTACTTTGACTGTAATTCCAATCTATTGATTTTCCGTTTGGTTTCTGTGACCGCAAAATCAGCCTGGATTTTCTGCTGTGTGATTTTGTTGCTCTCAAAATCAGCTAAGATAAAATCCGCTGTGATTTTCTGTTTGTGATTTTGCTGATCTCAAGATCAGCAGTGATTTTCGACCATTCCTGATTTTGGATTTTGCTTGATTTTTTTCCATCACTGATTACAAATAAAGTATGCAATATTATTTATTTAATTTGATAAAACAGAGGACAGTAGCAGTCCTCATTGAAGTGGTAAATTATTCGATAAAACATTACAGCAACTTCAATTTGAAAAATGAAAGTTTTATCTTCTCAGCTGTAATTTGAACCAGTAAACAAATATATAAATATATTTTTAAGAAGAATTTGAATTTCAATTCCCGATATTCAACTGTCATCGCCTTTTTTATAAGGTGATCAAAATATCGGAAGAAGTGTGCTGTACACCAAATCGCATGCATGAGGCATGTAACAATGTTGGTGAGTTGCTATAAGCAAATGCAAAACAAACAAATTTATTGGCAGATTTGGGCAAATTTTGACCTGTTTCATGCCACCGGAAGGTGTGCTGATCACAAATGTCGTGCCATACTGATTTCCTGCGCAAGTGATATGTATAAACGCGAATAAACACGAGGTCCAGTGATTATAGCGAAGGTTGCCATAAAGAAACCATCACAGTTCAGGGCCACCAAAACTTTCTACAAAAGAGTTGAGTTATGAAATTCACTTAATTCCAAAATAATATCAGAAACAACCAACTAGAAAATCGAACAAAAATTTCGTAGTTTTACGTCAACAATGCGGTCGTGTCTTGTACACCACGCTCCAACTTTTTTTTATACTTCAAGGCAATCATAAAACCTTTCATAAGTGAAAATAGCATGAGCATCAGTTGGTTTTCTTATAAGCTTTATAGGGGTTTTGTAGATAGCTATAAGAATGTTCCATGACTTGCATTGTATTTGACCGTCATAAAGCTGTAGGTAATGGTTGCAGCTGCAATAAAACCTTTATAAATTTTGAATATAGCCAAGCAGCTCTAGATTTGTTACTTGGGTTTGTGCGTACCAATTTACTTTTGGTCAGTCATTACCTGCGTTATTTTCTCTATTTGTTTGACAATTCTTCTGGATGAGCAATTATTCTGAAATTTTTTAATTGGTCAATAAATCAAATGATGCCTCTTAGAACCTCGTAGAAGTGCAAAGGTTTGACCGACCGTTGACCGATCACGAGCTGTGGTAGAGCAGACTGACTGCTATCCGTGTTGATTTTTGTTGATCTGATAGTCTTCTCTTCTTCTTCAGTGGGATGTGTTGATAGCAGCGAAATCCATCCAACAAATGAGTAACCGGTATGGTTCTCGCCCGACTCTGACACGGCACCTAAATCAAAAATTTCGATCGCGCGGTGCGGCTGCATTCGTATAGACCGATCTCGTCACTCGCAGACATACACAATGAATCAACTGAAAGGGGCTGGGAGAGACCATCCATTGTCAGTGCATACCTTTACACCGGTGGTTAAACACTAAAACACGAATTCTCAGTGTAACCTAGCGCCAATCCCTAAACGGGATACCAAATCTCATTTAAAATGTGCCTGGCGCTATCAGACAGAGAAGTCATTTATTTAACCGTTCTATTGAAATCTATTCAACACACAAACACATTTCATTCAAAATAAAAAAAAAAATCTTCACCCAAGGGGTAAGTCACTCAGCACATTGTGCCGAAATTATAATCGGCCAAGCTTGGGCACATCCATCGGTACACCTTCGATATACTTTCGGCACACTTTCGGCACAATCTTGTAGGCATTGAATTGTTGTAAATAAAATGAGAGCACTGCTGGACAACTGTCGTTGAAGTTGTTCACAACATTACGTGCTG